ATAACTGTTGCATAGAAATTTTCAAAGCTATAATTATAGTAGTATTTAGGAATCAAGAATCCCCAAGAACGCTCCATAGTTTTTCCTGAAATACTTCACTAAAATAGTTATACAGTATATTGAAAGATCTAATCCAGAATAGGCAAATCAGGTTTTTTATCTTGCAGGTGATACATTTTACAATTATATTAGGCGATCATACATTGCAGATTATATACTGTAGCTACAATATTTATTTCGCAAAAAAAAATAAAGAATAAATTATATATTGCGCCTTTGGTTAAATAATATTAGTTAATAATTAACAGTTAAACTGGTTAAACAATCATGATTTTTGTCCTATCTCTCAATCTTAATGTGGACTGATTAAAATGATTTATAGATGGTAGTAAGTTTTTTTGTTTTGCATATCGAGATGAGATAAATATTTCACTTGTATTACTCTTGCAATTCGATGATTGATAAGAAGTTGATGAAATCATTTCTTGCCTAGCAGGTGAAATACAAGCTGGCTCGAAATTTGGAGCACTTGACATAATTACTTTAGAATATTCATTATCCCAATGATATTTCATAAAGTCTTCAGGTTTGACTTCATAGCCATATCTGCGCTATCCATTAAAATATTTCTTTTTTGGCTTTATATCATTAACCTTTATTAATTCCAACAATCAAAGCAAATAGCCATTTTACTATTGTGAACATTAGGTCTGTGATAACTAATCGGAATCTCTTTTCCTGTGCAGTTCTCACGGTATGCCTCAGTTACTTCTTGTCCAAATGATCCGAAAAGACAGAATACATTATAATAACTACTATATTTTTCATTAATTAATATTCGCAAAGTTAATCTTACTTGATCTTGATCAGTCCATTGTTGTAGAGTTTCATGCGATCTAATTATGGATAAATTATCAAAATTTTTTTCTGCCTCAAGTATCTTTTCAAAGTCAAAAGGAGTGCTATAGCCGACATATGCATAATAATTTTTAATATACTCCATTTCATAACCAGGGCGATGATTAGTGGGTTTAGGCACAGATTTATTAAAAATCTTGTCTAAGATAATATAAATACATTTATTGGGCCTTGGTCTGTTAATATGGATTCCTGACATATTTAACGATTTATAGCGTTTTTAGCGAATTCTAGCAATTCTTTAACAACTTATACTAGATAATATCATCATTCAAATTTATACAGATTTACTGATTAGCGATTAGTTGATTTGTAGCCGATTTGTGAGACTACATGCTAGTAAATTCTTTATTCGATTATGCCCTTGTTCAGGGTGAAATATTGGTACGATTCGGCTAAATTGGATCCGATCACCATAGACGGCTAAATTATCTTCGGCTAAAATTTATATCACATATGATCTCCCTAGTTCCCTGTTCCTCGATAGTTCTAGGAATGTTCCAGACGCTGGCTAGTTTCTATAAATCACGAGATTGTCGGCCAATCAGATTTCGGATTTTTTCTTTAGCCAGATAGCCTTTGATCTAATGGAATTCGGGAATTGTAAATACACGTGAACGAAAATCTATTTTTTCTGATGGTAGAGTCTGGACACAGTGTCCAGGCTCGCAAAAATTGCGCAGAAGAAACGGCACAGTACCTTTGGGATAATCTAAACGTTTTGGAAAATTATTTTCCGTAATGTTCGGCAAAAAGTACTTTATATCATATTTAGCAGTGATCATTGATGCATGTTAGACACTTTAAAATAAAACCCCCGAAATGCTTTATTAATACATGTTTGAAATACACGTGCAAGAAATACTATTTTTTTTTTTCTGATGGTACCGTGTCCAGGCTCGTCAAAATTGCGCAGAAAAATAGATTAATCACATGGCGCAGTACATTATCGAACTTTCTACTTTAAGATTTCGGCTATTACATAATCTTTTTCATCCTTAGTTAGATTTAAGACGTATGATGGGGGAATAGATCTAATCCACGCTATTTTTTCTTTCCCTATGCTATTAAAAGTTTATACATCTTTCGGGTGCAAATTTTGTGACAAAAAACAGTTACCAATGGTAACGATCAGCATACCAAAAAAGATATCTGACAATGTAACGCTTCGCAGGGCACAAAGTGCATAAAATTTATAATTTTATTTCAAAGCTAAATAATATCACGTCATGTAAGCCTTATTATAGTAAGGCCACATTAAAGCCCAATTGGGCGAATTGCATAACAATCACTTTAAACACGAATTCTGATTTACTATTAAGGCTTCAATCAAATCAAAAGACATTTCGGATAGACAATTTGCAATTACAAATCATGTAGCAAGCTAATTACACATTGCCTAACTTCAACTCTACCTAAAAGATAGCATAAAAAAAGTAATGAGAAACTCCTGAATCAAAAAATGAGCGGATACATAAAAAATGATGAAAATATACCTTGCGAGGAGTTGCTACCGTTCTCCTAATCATTCTCATCTTTTCGGTTGGAGTTTTTATAATGTTGTCATTATTAGTGGTGTAGGATGGAAGTCTCTCAATATATTCTTCTACGAAATTCTGTGATTGGTAATTAGCAAACCATGAAGTTGATAATTTGGCAACTAATAATAATACCAAAAGACCATCAAATTTACCTTCAAATTTCCTACTTCTTGTAACACATTTTCAACCAAACACAGGCTAATATTACTTTTTGGCATTTCAAATTCTCCTATCAAATACATTCTGTATACAGCATCATATGAAAGGTCCATAGCATATATACGGACATTATAACCTGCCAACAAAATGCTAAACTGATTAGATAAAAGCATTCAGAAAAAAAAATATCCGGAAAGCTACATACCAAATGCATGAATTCCAAATACAGTCATATCTAATTCAAGACATTTCTCTTTATACATGTTATCTAGTGAGTCTTTCATTAACACTCCTAAATCCACTAAATCAACATTTGCGAAATGAGAGCTACTTTTGTAAGGCGATTTGAATAGCCCAAATACAATTTCAAATTTGCCACTTCTTTTATTAACTGTGATTGTGAAGTCGGGTTTATGTCTTTCACCTTCGTCATCGCCATTTGTTTTCCTAGATGCGCTTACGAACGACAACTTGTTTGCCCTATGAAAAAGCAAGCAAATATAACATTAATACTGCATTTAAATGCCCACTAAATCAGGAATAACTAACACTGATCTGTATAATTACCAATCAATTGTCCTATCCGGTCCGTCGGGGAAAAATGGACGTAAAAAAGGATGTATTGAATGATGTATGTGGGTATCTTCTATTGTTTGAGGACTATCAAACTTGTTCACGAATTCTCTGCACTAATTAGAATTATCTTAGTAACTTAAGAAATACAAAAAATCAAAAATCAAATTAAGAAATACACCTACATGTGATTCCAAACATTCTGACTAGTTCTCAACAATTTTTTATCGGATGAACTCAAGTTCGTCCTTAAATCATTATAAGCATTGTCAATTTCTTCTTCTAAAGCCTCTCTTGTCTGTTTTCGGGCAATTCGAGCACATCGACGACATATTTCTTCAACCACTTTCGGCAAATCGTGTCTCGGGTATATTGCCCTCATTTGCTCAAAAATCTTTGTGCGAATGGCTGATGAAATATCCAAGTGTACACGGACAGAGTTTTCCTCTAAAAGGAGTATAGAATTAAGAGCGCTGGGCAATAACAATCCAATATTTTAACATTATTAACATTTTTAACTGTTAATATATACATTGCATAAAAAGAAAGACAACATGTCAACTAACAGAATTTCGCCAGGATGCTTTGAGAATGTCAATTCACGTCTATCTGCTTTGGATTCAGCATAACCCTTAAAACGGAAAAATGAATCACTTATGTTCGTATCATCAATGGTCCACTCCTGTACAGAATTTAAGATTTATTAATGTTATGTACATAAATAATGAAACACACACCTACATGTACATACCACAACTATTTGTTTCAAATCCTCATATAAATTCCATTTCAACACATATGTACGTTTAGTACTGTTAGTTTCCTTCTGCCTACTTTTTTTTGCAGCCGGTTCATCCTGATATTCAACTTTTTCTAATATGTCGGACTGTAGATGAACGATCATTAAAAATGTTACAATGTTACAAAAAATTAACATTTGCTAAGTTACTCTGAAAAGACTACAAATTCTTCACCTTTTCTTCTTCTTTAGATGACTTCCTATTACGCTTTTTTGAACCATTTATGTTACCAGTTGATACAGGATCTTTATCATCATCAGCCTAAAAAGAAATCACGCAAATTAGTTGCTATTTTTGAGAGAAGCTCATGATAAACAAATCCTTATCATCATAGAGATGCATTCTATACCGACCTCCGTAGGGACAACCGATTCTTTATTCTGTAAATATCAAAAGTAAGAAGTGCTCACTATAAAATTCAAGGCGACATTTTTTATACCAAAAAACTTACTAACCTTTTTCGATAAAGATAGATTTTTTTTACGCTTTTGAGTGTTAGATATAGCAGGTTGAAAATCATCATCATCGGACTAAATAAGAAAGAGTTAAAATTGCTCTATAAAGCTGTTGATCCTCAACTTTAGCAAAAAAAAACGCGCACTTGTAAATAAGAACCCTCTTTCTTTGATCCAGCAACCAACTCATTCACAGTTTCTATAGTTCCTATAGTTCCGATTCCGTTTTTTACATTCATGATTGTAGGATTGTGGAGGTGGATCTGTTTATTAATGCGCTCCCCTTCCCACTTTCTAGCTGTTTTGTAGTCGGGTTTAGGCTCCTAACATGAAAGAATCGCTTAGTAGCAATATTTTTGACTAATACATTCCAATTCTTTATAATTCCCCATCCAACTGTCAGATCAGCTTAGAAACCTTGAACGCCAAACAACCTCGGAGAATCGTCTGGGCTCCAACAGGGCCAGTACTGAGTCAGCTTTTAGCCTTGAACACAGTGGACCTCAGAGAGTCTCCTATGCCTCAATATCGCCAGTGACAAAAAATCTCAGAGAATCCTTTGCCACTATCCCCACCTGCATTTTTAACAATAGAAGTTCTAATACTCGTCTTTTTATATCGATCAAGCAAGGCCTGCGCTTTTTTGCGCCTGTATCCTTCTTCTTTATTATTAGCTATTTTTTTAAGGCACGAAATATAATATGATAACTTCTGGTCGAAAGGTTCCACCTCACATTCGTTCAAGAATCCTAAAATATTCCAATCAGAATATGCACGTTCAAAGTATTTGTGCGACATATGCTAAAGATTTGCAAAACTCATGTCAGGAGACGAGGTAAAATGGAAGTACTTACAAATTTTAAAAAAGTGAGTGTACCTGTCTACCTGATGTGTTCCGAGTTCAAGGGAAAATAAAAGTCACACAAAAAATTAGTTGACGATCACATGATACATAATTTGGCTCTTAATCGTGTGTTACATATAAAAAATTAAGCATGACGTGGTGAAAACTTTATTAATTTTCAGAGGTAGTACAGTCCGTGTGAATTCTAAAAAAGGATTTTGTGTAACAGAATGTTGATCGAAGAATATTGGTTGTTCGAAATTTTTTGATTGGTTCTTAAAATCTATAGATCTGTAGATTCTTTCATCTAGAAAACTACATTGAACTATATGCTAACTTATCGTTAATTGTTGAAATAAACGCGTTCAAGTGTGTAGTTCCATAATCCACCAACCTTAACTCATAATCCACAAAACTGACCGAAGTATTCTTTATCTCAAAATTTGTATTTTATGAGTTTATTTCATTTAAAATGTGCAAAGAACTGTAACTGACTTGCTTATTTTTTTTATTTTTTGACATTTAGTGAATACAAAAGCAAGACCACAAGGTAATACCTTACCATGTTTATTTGCTACACTTACTGAGACATACTCAAGTTCAAGTCCATTAGCATTATGTGAAACCAAACAGAAACAACGATGGCGGCATGCATCAGGAAAAGCGGTACTTGAACAAATAGGTCTCTTTGCTGAATATTTTCCGGAATTAGTACCATTAAGTAAAACTTTGGAACATTATTCTTTTGTGAATGACATTACAATCAATAATTGCTACTAACCATCTCCTTGAGCATTTAAGAATAGGAAATAAACCAATTGTCTCTAATCAACGTAAACGATTACGGCATATTATTGACGGTAATGTGCCGCAACTATCGACGACTGATGATACACCTCAATTAAAAGCTGTCAGTGAAATTGGAATTCAAGTTTCTTTACCACATCCAGATATGAATAACCTTTTATTACGATTATCTCAGAATGAAGGGAACTTATCTGCTTTAGAATTTCAACGGCAGCAAGATATTAAACTTATAAATGAATATCGGCAAATAATTAATAACGATTAGCAAATAATTGATGAATTAAAATCTCAAATCAAAATCCTATTATTTGAAAATCAAGTATTAAAAGAACAATGGGATACTCGATTTGATGATCAATCAAAACATGTTACGGCTGCAATTGAAATTGCTCAAAAAGAGCGCAAAAATATATATGATGATATTGCCAATTTAATAAGTGATCAGGAGAGATTCAGTTTAGATAATCTTTTGAAGTATTCGATTTCTCAATGGCTTAATGACCGCAATCCAGTTGTTGTTAAATTTATAGAATCTCTTACAAATTATGATAATCAAAAGAAACTTGAAGGAGAAAAACTTTTTAAATGTGCTGAAGTAGTTGATGTGATTTATGGGACAAGACACTTAAAATATGTATCTCCTATTAATTTAGCAGCATCAGCAATTAAATATTCTATAGCAAAATCTAAGACCATTATTAACATTGATAATCACATCACAGGTGCCGGCAGTTATACCAAATTTATTAAATGGCAAGAAGATTTAGCTGGTGAACCTGAACCCTTTCCAAAAGGATTATTGTTTATGGCATTTGATAATGAACAAAAGGGATAGAAAAACTATTTGGATCATGGTTATAATACTGTTATTTTTCATACTGTTACAAGCTTTGTTTTATTTAACTTTAATTCTATCAATCAAATATAAAGTCTTGAAAATCCTTGGTTACATAAATCCTTAATGCATTACAAATTCAAGAACTATTTGATCTCACTCCAGAAATGCAAACATTACTTAACAAACAGCTTTATGATTATCTTTCTATTATCTTAGCTGAAGTGTATGTAGAGAAAAATGAAAATATAAATTTTATTGACAATCTAATTGCCAAGCAGAGTACTAATATAGGTAAACAAAAGCATTGTCATAAATGCAGTAAGAATGGAATTGAAAATTCTAAGCGTAAATGTCCTTAATGTAATGCAAAACTTCTTATACTTGCCAAAACACAACATAAAATTGAACAAATAACTCCTGAAAAAGAAGATTCTATCAAATCTTTTATTTTTAGAACTCACAAGTTTGAAACAGATACCTCCGACAAGCATACAAAATCAATTAGTATAACCCAAAGATCAATATCCCAGAAAGATGTTAATATACCTGATATTCATGTTCCAGATCCTTTACCAGTAAATCCAAATTCTATTACTAATATTCGTAAAGTTCTAGATCATATTCAAAAACAAGTAAAATTAGTAATGGTGATCGGAAATGGATTGTAGTGATTGTAGTAGTCTGTGATGGAGTACCTTACCATTATGCACAAAAATTTAAAAAGGACTACCCGGAAATACTCTTAGTGTCTGGTCCGCTTCATGAGGAGATGAATATGTTAAAAGCCTTTGTAGAGTTGAATTGGTATTGTCATTAATTAACCTAAAGCCAATTTCAATAAAGCTAATTTTATAATCTTTTATTTATATATGAAATTTAGGGCCATTGATATAAAATATTTTGCACAATGTCAAGGATATAGAACCGAGAATCAACTAAGAAATGTGCTGATCATTGTAAAGCATGGGATTCAATATGCCATATTTATTAGCATGCAATGGTAATGGAATTGGTCTGGCCTTATATTGTTTCAGTTCCTAATCCATCTGTTAGTGGGTTTCTCGATTGGGCTAAAAATCAAACCGATGAATTATACAAGTTAAAATATGAACAGGTATGTCAATATTGAAATTCTTAAAATTTTGTATATAATACTTAAATCAATTTTCTAGATCTTTTGGTATCTACAAACTATAATAAACTATCGTACTGGAGTTAGAACGAATCAACCTTTACTTAAATCTGCCGCACATAGAATGTTTGCTCCTATTTGGTCTTTCAGGTGACATTCTATTTATTAAGCAATTGAAGTGGCCGATGAGGAACAACTAATATGCCTTCATCCAGAAATCTGCCAACTTATTGAACAGAATGTGGTTGTATCACGATCAGGATGGTCAAATCAGCATCAGGGATTAGATGCCATACTTGAGGAGGTAAACAAAATGCTAAAGACGCTCATACTACCTATACCGACTCAAAAACATTGGGAGATGGCTGCGAGGAATTGTACAAAATTTATGAAGGCAAGAAATAAAGTATCATGTTGATTGATTGTATTATTAATTTTTCTTTTGCAGATAAAATAACCTTTCCTCTTGGAATCGGTATCAGTTACGAAAAAAATTATTTGCTTTAATCAGACATACAGATTCTGAAAGCACAGGTCCACAAATGTATTCAGATTATGTAACAGAATCATAACATTTTCAAGTTCAACTAAGAAAAACCGGTTTCTTAAATTTACATAAAAATAATCATCGTTCTGGAAGTTTAGACGGAGATAATGAATTGAGTGAAGAAATGAAATTATTTAGCATTACGGCTCGAGTTCAACGCATTAATTATATAAAAGAAAAGCTGACCTTAACAAAACTATTAGGTTTTATTCGTCCTATTCCCGTTACTTTAGATGAAGTGCAATTACAGTCAGCAGAAGGTTCAATGAAAAAAGAAGAGCTGATATTTATAATCGAATTATTGGTTGGATCCTTAAATGAGACCAATTGATCACAATTCTAAGGACTAAAATCGAAAAGAAATGACGAGCTTTTAGTAATTTTGCAATAAGTTCAGGATCTTTACCAATATGACTAATAGCGATGAAATGGAAGATACAATATAAAATTCACTTACTGTGAATGGAATCTTTGCACGCCTACAAAAATCCTGTATGAAATATTGTAAATGACAATAATGATTCTCTTTCATTTGTTCGATTACATGCTTTCCAAATTTTTTTACCAATAAAATCAAGAAATGAATTTTTATTGCAGTTTTATAGCACAAATCAATTTTGTATTACCGTCGATTCTAATAAACTTCTAGAATATCGATTATTTACATATCTAGAAATTCCATATATGGAAAAACACCAGACTGTAGTAAGCGAAACAATATGATGCTATCAAAGAGGGAGGGAGTACGCAGATCCTAGGCCATTTAATGTGAATCCTAACATCAAATTATTTCTTTGCTCTCTGAATAATTTCTACAGATAATTGGTTTCTACATCTATTACTAACTACAATATTCTCACCCCCATAATCTTTCTCCGAAATAAATTACACCACTTATATATACAGAATTTTCGC